CAGAGCCCTTAACCGATCGACCACTGAGCTGGCATCCAACGGTGTTAATGTCTAACCTCAACCAATCCACGAAATTGCGCGACCAACTTCCAATGTACTGAGGTAGATACCTGTCTCTACTTGACATGGATTAGCTCCACTGGCCACGACTTCTCACTAGAACTCCAGGGATTACCTCAAGGAGCCCGTCACTAGTGAGCATATGATCACATATACTTTAATCAATATGTAATAATTATGTGATTATCAGTGGCTAGTTCAAAAATTATTGATCATAACTAACAAATTTCACAACAGGATCAATTAAGTACAAGATATTAAATCAATAATCAATGAAACTTTTTTTTTAAAAACACACACTCGATAGTGTTGCTACACAGAAACAAAATTTTCCAAGAAATTTTTAACCAAAACTAACAGAAAGAAAAGTTTTATCTACAAATATATTTAATCTTCTCGTAAGTTTTTCCTCTCTCTATTCTTACTCGTTAACTTATTATTTTACCATGCAATGAAGTAATAAATCATTGAAAGTAAAGAAAATCAACAAACAAACAATCCAACTAAACATCCGTATTTGTAACATGGATTCAAGTTATAAATTTTAAATGATCATAGAAACTAACACAGTTATGAATTTAAAAAAAAATAATAATGATAAAGTAAACATTGTTGTTAAGTGGATAGAACTATTTATAGAATATAAATTTTAGTGATACCATACCACAGTGAAGTTACAAGATGAAAGAAACATACTCAAAACAAAAACTTTACATAGTAAATAATAACTTATGTTGAAGTGTCGATTTGAAAAATAAATATAAATTCTCAATTATTGTAGTTGTAAAAAAAGATACATTATTCAAATTGTCAGTTGAAGGTAGACCACCATGAAAAACCTGGCAGCACTGCTTGACGGCCGTTTCATCTTATTGTGGGACTCCTCAGCTGTGCGCATCCACGATCCCACTTATGTGGTTCGAATCCCGAACCTACCGGTCTCGCGCCTGAGTGCTTAACCACTAGACCACTGAGCCGGCATCTGATGGTGTTAATGTCTAACTTAAACTAATCTACGGAGTTGAGCAACCGTTCACCAATTGCCTTCAGTGAGTTGATATCTCACAATAGAAGTGGTTGAACTCCACTGGTCACTGCTTCCCACTAGAACTCCAGGAAATATGTCTTAAAGTCAATCACTGGTGAGCATATGATTCTAATCAGAAAGGGTTTTGTGGAGATTTCAGTAATAATACTTTCTAGAAGTAACGTTTTAAAATATCAATGTCACTAATAAACTAACCAACCAGTTGAAATTAAATTTACATACATAAACTTCAGAAAATAAGTAGACAATAATGTAAAATTAGACGTAGTTCACAGAACACAACGTATGCTTATAACTACACTTTTATATGCATAACGTTTATATCGCTCAAAAATAATCTAGGATTCTGAGATTCATCAAGGTTTCACAAACATCATCAACAAGCTAAGTAACTCTGTGATCTGATGAAATTTATTCAACACTTGGCGATTAGTAAACAATCTTAAAATTACACGAATTTCCTGTACTGTACCGGTCAATAGTTAAGATTTCATTTACTTATAAGGACTACTATTATTTTAAATGATGTTGATTATGAATCATTTGTTAAGCTACAAGTTTTATGTTTAAAGTATGACCATTTATAACAACATTCCTACCGCTCAGAGGTCACAGATTATCTGTTCTGTTTCTACGTGAGAAGTGGGTAGTTAGCTAGTATTCCATCTTGGTAAATTCAAACCATCATGTATGTGTATGTGGTGTCACCACTGGGTGAGCAGTAGTGAACGTATACTCCAGGATGTATCCGATACATGTATATCATTTGTTGAAATGACGTAATTATGTGTTACGTGCATAGAATCAACACATGTTTCGATATACTATTTGGGTTGAAGAAAGATCAGGTTAAAAATTCTAAGGTTAACCAATGATATGTTTATCACTAATGTAGAATATCACGAGCTTTTAGTTAAACTAATGTTAAAGGTAAGGAATTAAACACAAATTAACACAAATCAGTAGTTACAGCCGTGAGTACTGTGGAGAAAAACCAATCATAACCGCACAGTTACATGTTCTTTTCTAAGCCTACGTTTTGTCTCTTTATTTCTATATTCTAATGTGTTTCTTCCTTCTTTAGTGTGTGCTAAATTTTATTTTGTCATTCTACGTTGTCGTTGTTTTCGTTGTTTGTCTCAGTTTGTCTAAAACAATCTGTCCTTTGAGCGGAATTACTTTGATTGATGGTTAGGTGTTGTTTATCTTATTGATATTTTTTGTAGTACATTTAGTGGTTGTATTAGTGTAATTAATGAGAACACATGTGGGGACAACCAGAATATCTTGATAAAATATGGAGACCGTATACTGAATACTTCATCTGAAAATTTCCATCATTTGTCCTTCACATCCTGTATCATTCTTCCAGTGCTTAATTCTTCTCTATCTTCCCCTCTATTCTCTCCAACCTGATCTTCCTAGCCTTCTGCTGCCAGGTCTTCTACTTCCGATCGGTATTACATACTATTTATGTCGACAGACATAAATAGTGGACACTGGAAAATGTGTACGATAACTTAGTTCAAAAGTGCATAAACATTCAATTTACTAAACATACTTCTTGTACAAGCTTTGGTTTCTTGTTAGTTATTGTTGTTCACTTTAAAGCTTTGGACTCGATCCTGTGAGCTCTGGTGTTTTTAAATTGTTAAGGTATAGTCACGTTGAGGGATCTATTTTAATATCCCCTAGTTTTCAATGGTCCTATTGTTGTCAAAGTGAAACAGAGACTATTTTCCCTTTCGAACTATTAGAATCTCTTAACAAAACGCCCCATAAAATACTTTTATAATGCTAAAAATCTCATATATAAAAAGCTTCATCATAAATAAGAATCATACCTCAATTGAATCGATTTATCATTACACTATAACTTCATAGTACTTTATAGTACTAGCCTCCAAATGCCCTGGTAAGGCCGAGAGTGGGGAGAGTCTACTCTCCCTCTCGAAATGCTCTCATATGGCCAGCGAATATATAGCCTCTGCCAGGGAAGTCCTACTCACCGCCTTCTCGTGGCGGGAGTGTTGTGTACGAAAGTGAGAGGACGAAAAGCGAATGTCCGGCGCTTTAACCGGGTTGGTGGACACGGAGAGTCCACCTAGGGGAGTTGGAAAACCCTGATTCCAAACCAATGGTGCACATGGGCTCCAGTATCCTAATGGAACGAATGGCGGACGAACCTGTCATTGGTCAACGGCTACCATGGGACTGCATCTCCTCACGATGCTCCACTGCCTTGTGGATCAGACCTTTTGGTCAAAGGCTTTGGGTGTGGCCCCCTAAGAAAATCACCTGCTTCGGTTTGGGCACCCGGGCAGTATCACAGCCCACACACAAATTATTTTGTGTGGCGCATATGTACCTGGTGCCCTTTTGTACCAATATATATGTGTTTAAATAAATAAAAAAAAATAATAACGTGAGAATGTTATTTTAACAGTGTACAGTGTCGATTGAACATTCAATCATATTTAAAATTCTCAGTCCCTCAGGTAAAAACGATACTTTTAAGCTATTGCGTTGAAAACGAATAAACCATATGTGTTTTTTCTCCAACTTCTTCTAATTCATAATAAATTACTTGTCTTTTATCAAATATTCCCTTTACTTTAAACAACTCAATTAAGTCATTATAAAGATATCTAAGTTGAAAGCCTAAAAAAATTATACCAACTTGTAATATCTAGAAATTGCGGTAATTCACAAAGGTAATAAAATAGAAAATGTAGTAAAAAAAGAAAATGAATGAAAATTCATTTGCTTTTAGCATTTTGCGGTTTTAATATAGTGCAAAAAAAATGGTAAACCGTTTTGTCAGAAATAATATGAACATCAACTCTGAGATGCAGGTAAATCCGGCTGACGAGTCCCAAATAGGACGAAACGCGCGTCCTGGATTCCACTGCTAGCCACTATCCATCTTTGCTTACAATGCTTATGAATTTAGGCTATATCGAGGTAATGCGCACAGCATGCATATATGCCAATAAGAGACTGACCAGTTGCAGTCCAAAAACATCAATGGGAAGTTTCAAACAAACAATACTAAGTGAATTTCAATATGAATTTAGTTAAAGAATAAAATGTATTCAATCAACTGAAATGTTGTTTAAAAGATATCCCCATATATCAAATGGGTCTAACTGAATAGTGCTGCTTTGAAGTGTAAAAGAGAAAAGGAAATGAGATACATGTTCAAGAAAACAATGATTATGTGAAAAAGGTTTTTTTATTGAGTAGTTCGTATGGATCAATGGTTTTCATAGACATATATTTTATTGATTTCCAGGCTGGACTCCTAAAGTTATAGTGATATTACTAATGAAATCTGACCTTATTGAGACAGAAATATGTGAAATTGAAAACGTTGGGTCATTTTCGTACAATGTAACGAATTGACGAAAGTTGAGATTCTGGTTAAGAATTCAACTCATGAGTATAATGTAATTACCGTCTCTTTTGTACACAAAGATAGTAAATTTAGTTAAGTATGTTTGTTCGGGTCACAGACTCCTGAACTGGGACATGTATCTAATACTTCCAGAATTTCAAAAGTTTTCTAGGTCGTGTCACTCTATGATGAGTATTATCTTCAAAACAAATATATTAACTGATAAAATATTCTGCTTAAACAAAATTAATTATTTTAATAGTTGAATTCATGAGTCAATTAAAGCTAGACTACAATGGAAAACCTGGAAGAACTGGACGACTATTTCGTCCTAGTATAGAACTCCCTATAAGTGCACATCCACGATCACACTTCCCGGGTTCGAACCCAGGACCTATCAGTCTCGCGCATGAACGCTTAACCTCTAGACCACTGAATCGGCATAACTTATACATGTAGAAATAAAGGGAGAAATAATCATGATTAAGAACTTACTCCTTTCTATTTGATGATGAAGCTCGTCGTGTATTTTCGAAAGACTTTTGCTGTTTTAATAAATAATATTTAATTTCTTTTTCAACTGCTTTACGACAACCGGAACATTGAATAAAATTTAAATCCATTTGTAGATAATCTTTACTGGATTGTGTATATGGATGATTTAAATAATTATATGGTAGTTGGTGATGTTTGTGTGTGAATGAATGATTAGAATTATTTTGTTGTTCTTGAATGTTCTCATCGTCATTTAGTTCACTTGTTGTAGTATCTGAGTACTGTTGAACAAATAATTGTGAATACTTTGATTTTTCTACTTCAGCAACGCGATGCTCATCAGTAGATGGTAAATGTATTCGACGTTTTGAAGAAGATGATGAACATCGATGACGAGATTTCATTGTTTGTGAACGAGATTTATTTGTTGGTACTTTTAAATTTAAATTCTCTCGAGGTGTATTTTTAGGCGATATTTCTTGATGAGTGTAGATAGCTCCAGGTCCTGAACTCAAAATAGTTGTGGAGGATTTCGGAACTGAACGATTCAGTGTATTCGATTCACTATCTAAGTAAACAAAAAATGACGGATGGTTAGTTTACATTTAAATTTCACTTTTCCTTGCTTCCATCCTGTTTTGTGATCTTTCAAAAACGACTTTTTATTACCCAAAATGAATGAATGAACCTTCGGAATTTACGCTCCTTCTTGGTATCTTACCTAAGTTAACGTTTATTCAGATAAATTTATCAAATGGTAGATTGAAGTAATGTATGTAAGTTAGTTTTTCCGCACCACAGATGTTCTGGAAATGTTACCACAAAGACTCTCAACTATATACTACATTCATACTGTCTGTTTCAAGTCTCAATGACATTCATTATGTTGCTATTCTCAAGTGTTTTCCACTGTTCATGATTTCGTATGTAGGAATGCTTCTATGTTCAAAACAAATCAAGCTCAAATACTCCCATTTGTTGCTGCATGTTGAAAAACCTTATAATTACTCAACGTATAACTGTTCGAAAGTTATATCGGGCATATACAACAGACCATACATAAGGAAGCTATAAACGAACTGTTAAAGATCGAATATTTCAACTACTCACATCTTGGTAACCATCGACTAAGAACGATTTTGGCCATTCTTCATGAAGAAAGAGTTACACTTAGAATGAATAACTTTTTTATTCAATGAGTAAGTAGTGACCAACCTCATACCATATACTATCCTTTGTTAACCCATTTCTTTCATACACCTTTGCAATGCAATTGCTAAAATAGGTAATACTGTGATAATGTAATTTTTAACCAACGGCTGACGAGCCCCAACTAGAAAACAACAGGAAACAATACGGAACCATTGCTCTTTAATTTGACACCAATTAGATTGGACGATGATCTAATAAAAATATACATCCTGGCTACTCTTTTTTATAATTATGGACTTAAGTCGCTTTAGTGAATAATCAAATCAAATAAGTCAAATACGAGGATGAATTTTGAGTATGTATATTTCGAACACTCGTTGATCCGAACAGACACTCAGAATAAGAAACGGAAAAGCGAAGCGAAGCGTAGAAGGCGAATGAGCCAACTCGGTTTGATCAAGCGTGACGTTAATTAAACATGAAAATAACGTTTTAAAACATTTATACAATTTTAAATCTAAACCAACCATCCAAACATGCACAGTGTAAATGATTGATTAGAAATGTCAATTTGATATAACTGTTGGGTACTTTTATCATTGAACAAAATACTTACCTACAATCCTATCTGGATAACTGCTTGAAATTGCCCATGATGTATCCGTAACCTGAGCACATTGGTTGGAATCATATAAGGTTTTAGACTTTTGTACAGATATTTTTGAATCTTCACTATGATTTTGTAGTCGTGTATTATTGTTATACTTATTATTATTATCATTATTCTGTGACGTAAGTCCAGTTAAAAGTTGTCCTTCACCAATATTATTATTTGATACAGAATTTGAACTGGGACTGTTTGATATTGAATCAAAAGATCTACTGAAATTGCTTGTAGCTACAGCCTTCAATAATAGAAAAATTGAAATTAATTGTCTATTTACTAACAAAGATGAATTCTTACATATTTCATTATCGTTTGTTTAGTAAAATTAATTTACTTCGTTAAGCTTGTAAACATTTTGACTCATATCTAATCTTTGTACCTCTGATATGACTACTACTATGACCAATACCTTTTGCTACAATCTATTTTGCACATAGCTTTGTTGAAAGTCTTGAATGAAGAAAATCACTTATTTCTTCCAATTATGGACAAAGAACTCACTAGTTCACTCAACAAATCACTCCAGTGTTTACAACATTAATAAATAACCGTACATAAACCACATCGCCATCTTTTATGAAGGGAATGTTATGAAAATAAGCTAATATATTTAAATGTTCATTGCCAAATCTGTGAACTTTAGTAAGTAGTAGTAATGTGAATAAACAATTATCAATACCCAATTTACAGTAATCGTGTAAGGTATTCACTGATGTTTCCGGTGAACATATATTCTACTACTTAATAAGCATGTTGCGAAGTAGAGCCGCCTCTAACTTTCGATCGTCTGATATACCATACTATCGTGTAAATAAGTGTAGAATAAGATGGAATACTTCTATTCTTCTTCATTCAAAGTTACCTAATGCACAGAGATATATTTTTCCCTCCAGCTTATACATACTCAGGAAGATTTATGTATGACTGTCACATTGTTGTGCATAGGCGGCATTAGGTTGACACAACTTAGTGTGTACATATAAATAATCTATTGTCTTCATAAATGTTTGCACTTAGTATCAAAAATCAAGTAACTAACAAGATAAGGTTCATATAGACAAACTTCTGTACTAAATTTACATTAATTTAAAAAATATAAAAAAGGTAACTCTAAATTTTGAAAATTTCATCAACCATTTAATTTAATTCTCTTAAATTAAATTTTAACACTTGACTTTTAATGTTTCAGAATCATTTGAAAGACACAATTCAACCTAATGTTCATGATATTTGAGTATGGTAGTAATACAGTGTATTCTACATATGTAGTATATAACACCAGTCAGAAGTGGAATGCTTGGCAGCAAAAAGATAGGAAAATAAAATCGAAAAGAAAGAGAACAAAGAGTAATTATTATGGCAATGAAAGACCAATGAAGTTTATGACAATCGATGGAGGATATTCAAATTAATTATTGAATGTATGGTTGTCACATTTTACAAAAGAAGTTTGTATAAGAATACATTTGGTTGTCTCCACCTACATTCTCTTTCATTATTTGTTGTAAAAACAATATTTGTAATACTTACAAGTGATCATTACAGTTTTGCATTAAAAATAAAACACGAATCGTATTTATTTATTTATTTATTTATTTGAAAACATAAATATTGGTACAAGGGGGAACCAGATATATATGCGTCACACAAAAAGTTGTCATTTCATTTAATTGTTTGGGGGCTATGATGCTGCCCGGGTGCCTAAACAGAAGCAGGTGGTTTTCTTAAGGGGCCACACCCAGATCCTTCAATCCAAAGGTCTGATTCATAAGGAAGTGGAGCATAGTGAGAAGATGCAATCCCATGGTAGCCAGTGACCGACGATTGATTCATACGCCATTTGTCCCCTCAGGATGCTGGAGCCCATGTGCACCATTTGTGTGGAATCAGGGTTTTTCAACTCCCCTAAGTAGACGCTTCGTGTCCACCAACCCAGTTAAAGCGTCGGACATTCGCTTTTTATCCTCTCAACTTCGTAAACAACACCCGTGGTGCGAGAAGGCAGTGAGTAGTGTGGTGTGGTCTACTTATATCCATATAAGTAGTGTATGGTGTGGGTCAGACATAGAATGTATTTTGGCAGAAGACCGATGAAGAAAGAACTGAAATGAAACGCAAACGTCTGCAAAATGCATGAGCAATGGAATAAGAGAAGAAACAGTGAAGATTGAAACAATTGGTTGTTAATTTGCAAATTGACTGTTCATTGTTTGGTTATCAGAATTTATTGAGATAGTCTGTAATCTTTGCTTAAATACATTCGATTATCCCCAACTAGTGTTCTGTTCACTACAGTAGGACTTCATTATCAGAGGCTGTATGAGCGTGGTCATGTAAGAGCATTTCGAGAGAGAGGGCGGGCCCTCCCCACTCTCAGCCGTACCAAGGCATTTGGGGACACGAATCGTATACTACTCAAAAATTTTAAATTACGTTGAAACACATCTGTTCTATACACAGTAATCAATAATTTTTTTCAAGCTGAATTAAATTCATGATAAAGATATATCTTTGTGTTTACGGATTATATTACTTTATCTTACTAATATTACTTATAAATAGAATCAAATGAATATTTCAACAACAAAAAAACAATCATCAATTTCAATAACACTTCCTTCGTAAATAATAGTTACTTTGATTGTCAGAATTACCATTATTATTGTTTAGTATCAATGAAGCGTACCAATCTATTTTATAGTCTCTTATTGATGTATCATTTCAACTCTTTATTGTCTTAATCTAACTTCTTATTTGTTTCCATTTCACTACTCTTTCAATTCAACTCATTCACAACGAATAAAATATTTTTTTGTCATTTAATAATAATTTAATTATTTTTTTTATATTTTTTATTATTCTCATTTCCATTATTTTTTATTTTTAACTTCGATATAATAATTGATATGTCATCATCAATTAGATTGTGTTACACTCAAAACAGTTCACTAATCAAATAACTAAATATAATATTATATAGTAAGAATATTTGACTACCAACATGAAACCCTAACTCCACCTGTAGCTCTTCTAGAGTTACTGCCTAATCCCAAGCCCGGGTAAAGGAGGAATGACCATGGGGTTAGAGACCCCATCCCGTAGAAAAACTAACTCGCTTAAAAAACACTAACCAGAAAAGATAATTTAAACCATTTAAATTCTGCCCTGGGTGTTGAAGAAATAATTACGACGCCTCATGATGAAAGTCAAAATTTTTCGGAAGTCATGAGCTCGATGCACCTAACAACTAGAGCAACACTCTTTATAGGTACATGGAACGTCCGGACAATGTGGGAGACAGGGAAACATGAAACTCTGCTCAACTTAGATTTTTATAATATTTGCCACTTTTTGGCATGGTGTACATGTAATCCTGAAGGAGCTAACGTTAACGAATGGATTCAAACATATGTCGCTTAGCTTCATATTGTTAGACATTAAGAGGAAACTATTCAGATCAAGACTGACAACCTACAGGACTGAGATTTACTTGGAACTACTGAATCATGTGAATAGTGTGCAATGTCATGTTTGTTTTTATTTTTTAGTATCAATCTAATTTTATTAATCAAGTTACTATGTGATTAGTAGTCTTAGTAGATTGACATAGTATATACCATGTCGATATGTTCAATGAATTGAAGTAGTAAAAAAATATATTTATAAGAATTCATTTTACAATAAGTTCGCTTAAGTTATTTTCATAGTTGAACAAATAAAGTAAATGAGAAGCAGTGATCAGTGGAGTTCAACTGGGTCTGTTGAGAGATATCAACTTACTGAAGGCAATGGTGATTTCGTGAACCGGTTGAAGTTAGACGTTAACACTGTTAGATGCCGGCTCAGTGGTCTAGTGGTTAAGCGCTCGCACGCGAGACTGATAGGTCCTGGATTCGAATCTCGTGAGGCGGGATCGTGGTTGCGCACTGCTGAGGAGTCCCACAATAAGAGGAAACGACCGTTCAATGCTTCCAGGTTTTCCATGGTGGTCTATCTTCAATTGACTCATAATCTCAAATATTGAAATAACGTAAGTGTTGAATGAACAAAAGTAAATATGAATTATAAGAAAAGTAAATATTAATGTAGAAACTTGGTTTGCATTCACCACTTCTTTTTATAATAACTCCCAGTTCATTTTATTAGAATTTTATAATCTGTGTACACTAATCTATTTACAATGACATTTTGACTAAATTATGTTTAGAATTAACAAAACAAAAACTATACTATGCCTAAACTGAACTGATTAACACTCTTTTTGAGATTTTACTGGAATAAAATTATGTAAATAAAAGTAAGAGAAGGGATGTCATATGATTCTGTGAATGTGGTCCACAAAATCTATACAGAAGGATAAAAGATTACTTATAAATATAGTCAACAAATGTTTGTATGATAACTCCTATGCTTTATATACAAAAGTAGGTTGTCATGAATTTGGAACTTCATTGAACGAGATCACACAAATGGAGACAACAAAATGTACTTAAATACACAATTAAGGAACCTCTTAGTAAAATCCGGGAACCATACAGTAAATACTTCATTTTCAAAACGTCTATCAATTGTCTGAGACTTAATTGTTCCTTCATTTTCATACCAATCGCTTTGTATTCTGATTTTTTTGTTTTCTATCTTCTCAACCTGGAACCTGGAACCATGCATTACATTTTCCATTGATGTTACATACTATTTTATATCTGTCGATATCAGCAACACACACCGTACAACTACATCAAGTAAGTTTAATTATTTTATTTACGTAATGATTTTTTTTTTAATTAGTGGATTATGTTTTCCAATATCTATGAAGTTATTATCGGTTAACTGATAAGATTTTTCACTTGGAAATATTAATTATTGTCTTAATCCTTTTGATTTGATCCCCTATTTATAGATTGAATATCAATTTCATTTAAATAAATTGTGTCAATCATCATTTTTTGTTAAATATAAATCTCTGATTCATCATAAGAATTTTGTTATATCTAGAGCTTTGATTCTTGCTATGCCGCGTACTACCAGACTACTTGAACAATCGAACCTGCAACGTCGTATAAGAGAACACAGGAGACCAGTCAGTAGGAATTCTATTCCCAAAACAGTGTCAAATATAGTACAAAAATCTCATGTATTTATAGTTTTTGGCTGAAAGTAAATCATTATTTCGGACAGCCAATAGACACATAGGGGGTTCTTCTTATTCATCCAATAGGGAAGCTACACGTCGACATTCTAGAATACTCTCCTAGCGGTGATTGGATTGAATGTCTTCGACTCTTTCTGGGCTTCTTGAGTTTACCAACAAGCAATCTTTACAAATTTTAGTCAGCTTACATTAGAATAATAAAAATTTTGATATTTTATTGATTTATTATTGTTATTCTATTTAAAATAAATAAGATATACACAACTTCATATTGGCTAGAATTACCAGATAGGTAATAATAAGGTTAGATAGATGGTATTAAGGAATGATGTTAAATCAGTTGACGTTGTAGCTGATTGATTAAATTAACCTTTCGAAAACAGAATATGGACATGTATACAATAATGTAAACAATACACGGTATGAAATTTGGTTGACTACAATAAAATCACTGTTACAAATTAAACCACAATACAAAAAGAAAGAAGGAATGTTTCCTTTTCTTTGTTTAATAAAGTTTATATTTAAAATAGATTAACGTTATAAACAAAAAAAATTTAAATGATATAAAATATTAAATAATTGAATTGAGCTATTATTAATACTTACCTTTACAAGTGTACATTTTCTAGATAAAGGAAAATGATTTATTGATTGTTTCTGTCCACTAATTATATTATTATATGTTGTACCAATACTAACCGATGTAGTTACAGTAGTGGTACTGGTAATAGAAGTTGTAGTAAATGAATTAGATTTACGTGCAATATGTAAAATAACTTTATCAGGATAATGTTGTAACATACGCATTGCTTGTGTTAATGTATGACCATTATGTAATGTAATACCATTTATAGCTAAAATTCTATCACCAGGATGTATTAAACCACATTCAGCTCCAGGATCACCAGGATTTAATGAATCAATTAATACTGGTATATCTGGTGCATCATCTGTACCACAAATAGTAATACCCCATGGACAATTAGATGATTTACGTCGTAATATCACTTGAACAACGTTTATATCAGATCCTAAAATAATCAATAATTAAAAATTGAGTTATAGTTAAGTTTTGTTTGAATGATAATATGGATAAAATTGTATAGTTATAAATAACATGTAGTAGGATCTTCTATTTTCACTCAACTCCAACACATTCAATTTATTACACAAATACTGATAGTTTAAAATTAACATTTTATTTTGATGCAATTCAATTTCATATAAAATGAAAACTTGATTAGTCTTGCTGATTAACCGCTATACTAGGATCCTAAGCTAGTCTCGTAACTACCAAGCTAGAAATACACAGCAACTTGAACACGTGAGAAAATTCACAAAATATGCGTAAAGCACTTTACTCCAAAGGTTCATTTACTTACAGAAGTTATAGGGTTTTTATAGTACTTTAGAAGTCCTTGGGTTTTCCTGAAAATTCTAGAATACTACTAAACATAGTAGCGGTGTAGTAATCAACCATTCAGAAACTCTACATGTGACTTTTCATTTCCGTGATGTTTCTAGCAAAACTTCTACTCAAACGTTGATTAGATAAAATGCTTCTTTATTTTTTCCTGAGCTTGTCATGTTTATTGCGAGACGTTTTCAGGATCATTCCAACACTACTATAGCTGTATTCTTTGACCTTAAGGTGTCTTCAGCCCCGTTAATCGTGAAGCTTTGTGAGTGTCTACCATATTCTAATAGAAGCTAACTAGGTTATTGTTTCATTTCATATATGAATTCTTTCAATAGTAAATTAAAGATGAATGAAATCCACTTGTCAATAAACTATGGAACTTTATTGAAAATCATTGATTATCAAGAAAAACTCTAGTCGACTGCCATTTTCATCATTGATAGTTTTTCTTTCCCTAATTAAAAAAAAGAAATTGTGAAATAGCGTCAAAAATAATGACGCTTATACCTCTATTGATTTATTGAAATGGCTTAAAACTAAGTATATTATTTAACAGGCTCTGTTATGAAGAAAGATATTTCAATTTTAAATAAAGACAGAACAAATATTAATGCAGAATGATATGAATTCATTATATTTCATGGTTTCTCATCAGTTGTTTACAACTAAATATGTATTAGAATTTTAGCATTGAGATAATAGTGTGGTACAATTGACATCAGTGAATGTGAAGGATTGGAATGTGTAAAGAACAGGTCAGAGATTATTAGGTGTTAGAATGAAGGAAAAATAAAGGATGGGTGGTGTAATCGTTGAGTGGAGTTCAGAGACAGATAAGATAAATTGTGCGATTTTAGATATCGCGTATTGTGTAATGTTTAGTAAGGTGATTATAACCTAATGATTCTTTAATATACATGTTGAAAAAATGTGTATATGTCACTAACATCAAACATTAACAGACTCATAAGCAAAGATGGATAGTGGCTAGCAGTGGAATCCAGGACGCGCGTTTCGTCGTATTTGGGACTCGTCAGCTGGATGTGCCTCCGTCTCAGAGTTGATGTTCACTCTGGGACTCGAACCCAGTACCTTTCGCTTCAAACACCATCGCGTTATCCATTCAACTACTGAGTCCTAATAGCCATCTGCTTGTGCAATGGGGTGAAGTTTAAATTCACTTGGTGTTGTTTACTTACATCTTCCCATCAGGACTCAGTAGCTAAGTGGATAACGCGATGGCATTTGAAGCGATAGGTATTATGTTCGAGTCCCGGAGTGAACATCAACTCTGAGATGCAGGTACATCCAGTTGATGAGTCCAAAATTGAACGAATTGCGCGTTCTGGATTCCACTGCTAGCCACTATCCATCTTTGCCTATAAAGCTTGTGACTTCAGGCAATATCGAGGCAGTCCGCACAGGATGCATATATGCCAACAAGAGACTGATCAATTGCAGTGCTAAATAACAATAGGAAGATACAAGTAAACAACACCATGTGAATTAACAGACTCATTTGTGACAGTTTCTAAACTCATTATTTACAGTTGTTATTAAGTTGTCATATATAACCGGGTTGTTATGATCTCTGAAATTCATCATCTAAACCTTAATAATCGAGTATTTTTTCAAGTATCTACAAAATGTGTCTATCATCTTCTTATGGGTAACGCCATATTGATTAGAAAACAAAAATTAGGAAAGACAAGAAAGTTACATCTCTTTATTTTTTTGATTTTTTCTTGATAAAAGATTCACCCTGATAATACGTTGTAATGAATATCATATGAAGAGGAAGTTTATACGTAACTAATTTTGACCGTTAATTCGTATTTACTTTTGTATTTTTCTTTTTGTTTTAGACAAATAGACATCAGAATAATGCTGTGTGTCAGTAATGCTATCCAAATTCAATCACATAATCATATTAGTATTATCTAAAGGGGGTTTTGTGGACGAAACGGCCGTCCATTGCTTCCAAGTTTTCCATGGTGATCTAGCTTCAATTGACTCATGATTTAAACCAAAGATATATTAGTATTAGTCTATAGTACTGAAATGTTCAATTTCATTACTTTAACACGACTTTGGAATTATCTTTAATTTTTAATAACAAAAGTTATATCTTGTTTTTCAAGGTGAAAAAGGTCATGTAAATGTCAAAAAGGCTTTCAAATGTATTTACGTGTAGTAATAACAATCCCAGTTCAAACACCAAATATTTATGTGTTCTTTCTTTAACTTTACATGGAAAGTACGAATTATTTTTACAGTATAACCTTCACCTGGACTAACGCTTTTAAAAATATTACACAACACATATTTACAATTTTCATCGTTATCATGATTAATACACGTTCGGATGTCATTTATCTGTCCACTTCTGAATGGAAAATAGAATAACAGTTTTCCACTCAAATCGCTATCTAGTTATATGACTTAACAATGGAGACAAATCCGACTAGCTCATCATTTCCACATTGATTTCAACAAATATACTAATGCTTCTGTGCAATTGAATAACAATTCTTGTTTAGATTAGTCAGCCAGTCGTTATCAAAGTACAGACTGATACAAATATATGTTAGCTAGAATTTTCAAATCAAACCTTTACGATAAGATGAAATTAACGTGTTGAATGGGAAAGGAGTCAAAGCAACCCAGTAAAGATAATAATGAGAATATTTAAACATTTCGAATGCTTCGAGAAGAAAAGGCTTGTATAAAGGGATGTAGAACTAAGGATCTAGAATACGATGAAGAAAGAATATATCTGTGTCATTATGTCTGATCCTAATCCATGTCACTCAAAGTCTCCACTCATTGATTGTGGCTATCGCGTGGGCCTCAACCAGATACTGTATACCTACCAACATAGCTCAAACAGTCAATGATTTCATGAATTGTTACTATGTCATGGTTTTCTAGCCTCTAGTTTTCTCCCAACTTTCTCTTACTTTTAATTATGTGATCATCTATGGACTTTGTGTCTCATGGAAAATTATTTCCTCCTTAAACTGATATCATATAAAGAGCATTGAAACCAAGAGACTACTAAGCACCTGTTTCTTATTGGCTTGAGAATTTCCAGCAACTCACAATCATCATCATGTACTGCATAAGCCTCAATGACTTTAAATATAACAATGAGAAACCTGTTCATTATTCAGTAGTACCTATGTATTGTTAGTTAATGCCTACTTGTTATGATAACTTTTTATATATTTAACATTAGTGAACTCATTTCTTTCATTGTTTATAAATGAAAAGAACAAATAAAAATAGTAAACTAAAGAATTTCAACTGAAAACTGTGCCCAGACCGAAGCTATCTAAGCTTTATATATATAATTTATTAGTAATGATAAAATATAGTTTCAACCATTATAATGTCTTATGATTGACTAATTTCAATTACCTAATAACTATGAAGAGAAATGAATGCGTTTATCATAATTGATTGTAATCACAAAAGATAACTTATTAGTTTTATCATAGCATAACATTCGTTAGAAGATCCAGTTACAAAATTTTAAAGTTTGAATGTCTTACAAGTTTACTTGATTGCAGTTAGAAAATTATTTTTATCTTTAACAATTTACAACAGTCAATTAATCGAACTGCAAGCTTAATGGCACTTACACAACTAAAACATTTTTCTAATCATGTAATTTATAACAATAAGCAAAGATGGATAGTGGCTAGCAGTGGAATTCAGAACGCGCGTTTCGTCCTATTTGCGACTGGTCAGCTGGATGTACCTGCATCTCAGAGTTGATGTTCACTATGGGACTCAAACCCAGTACCCTTCAATTCGAATGCCATCGCGTTATCCACTCAACTACTGAGTCCTGATGGCCACTTGCTTGTGCGATGGGGTGAAGTTTAAATTCAATACTAATTGAACTTAATGAGTAATCTTTCAATAAAGATGATTTCTTAACACTGCTTACACAAATGCGGCATTTTTGTGAAAACTTCTAAATTAAAACTATCCTAAACTCTATAAGTAAAGATGAATGGGAGCTAGCAATAGGATCCAGGACGTGCGTTTCGTTTTATTTAGGACTTGTCAGCTGGATATACCTACATCTCAGAATTGATGTTCATTCCGTGACTCTTTGCTTAGAATGCCTGTGACTTAAGGCAATATCGAAGCAATTCGAACAGAATGCACTTATGCCAATAAGAAACTGATCAATGGGAACATCCAAATAAACAATACAAACTGAATTATCCTAAACTCTATTAAGATTATCACAGACAACTTGTAAAATGTTTAAATGTTCAAAGGACACTATACATGGAATAAACAAATGTTAAATAACTTTGACAAGTAATTTTCAGAATAAAAATTGATTCATCAAAATGAATTATATTGAGTATACATATATAAATTATAGCCTGAGAGTGACCTACGAATGGAATTAGTTTTTGTTGGCCTCACGCATTTATAAATTAATTATCTTTCTACAATTTATCCAACTCATCTTAACAATGTATAGTATTGACCTTGACCTAAATTTCTTTATCTTATCTTGTTCTATAACTAAATGAGTATAAATTTAATTGATTCATTTGGTAGTTAGCGTTATTCAAATTACGCTATGAATAAAATCACTGTTATCAATAAGTGAGATATCGAAATAACAGTTATAACACCGATAATTATGATACGTGTTACCAATCACTATCAGAATTTTTTGAATTGTTCTTTTTATTCAAATAAAATATTTTTTTCGCATTTCCAGTAGGGACCGGAGTCAGACAAGGTTGTCTACTTTCCCCCTTCCTCTTTCTTCTAGTGATCGACTGGATTATGAAGACTTCGACTTTTGACGGAATACAATGGACATCTCAGAATCATTTAGATGATTTGAACTTCGCAGATGAGCTAGCCCTCCTATCCCATACACACGAACAAATACAGACAAAGACAACAAATGTAGCAGCAGCCTCTATATCAATAGGCCTCAACATACAAAAAAGAAAAAGAAAGATTCTCAAATACAACACGGAAAACACCAACCCAATCACAATTGATGGCGAAACTCTGGAAGAGGTGGAAACATTCACGTACCTGGAAAGCATCGTTGATAAACAACGAGGATCTGGTGCAGAAGTGAAGGCGAGGATTGGAAAAGCAAAGACAAGATTGTTACAATTGAAGAACATATAGAACTCAAAATAACTCCCAACTAACTCTTAAGTGAGAATCTTTAATACGAACGTCAAGACAGTTTTACTGTTCGGAGCTGAAAGTTGGAGAACTACTACATTCATCGTCATAAGGTACAAGTATTTATAAACAGTTGTCTTCGCAAAATATTCAACATTCACTGGCCGGACACTATCGGCAACAGCGTTTTATGGGAGAGGACAAACCAGCTTCTAGCTGAAGAGGAAATTGGGAAAATACGTAGGAAGTGGATCGGACATACATTAAGGAAATCATCAATGTGCATTACAAGGCAAGCGCTAACTTGGAATGCTGAAGGTAAGCGGAAAAGAGGAAGGCCAAAGAACACATTACGCCGGGAAATAGAAGCAGATATGAAAAGGATGAATAACAACTGGAAGGAACTGGAATGGATTTCCCAGGACAGAGTTGGATGGAGAATGCTTGTTGTCGGTCTATGGTCCTCCACGAGGGGTAACAGGCGTAAGTAAGTAACCATATTTTTATGTTGGTTGAAGACAGAATAGTGAATGGCTTATAATGATAATCTATCAAAGCAGTATATAAGGAAATATCAGACGAATGGATAATATTATTGGTATTGTAGTGTAAGTTACTAAGATCCACATATATATAAGGTTATATATATATATATAAGGATGATCGGACATTTAATGTGTTTCAGGAGACGATCGATAACGAAAGAACGGGAAAGAAACGTGATTGGCATGAAAATGCATGAATATTAATAATTGGAGACGATGGACTGATATTCACAGAAAGAACGTTCAAGATTGAGACAATAGACTGATAGTTTGCAAATTAATTATTTACAATATGGTTCTTATATTTTATTGAGGTATTCTGTAATTTTGTGCCCAAATACATTTGATTATCCACACTCGTCTTCTTGTTCACCACAGTATATTAAGGGTTTTGGTTCCTAAGCTTAACAAATAAATGTTATGTTTGTTGGCTGTTACCAAATATCAGCTCTTATCATTATGAACCTTCTTTCCACTTTTTTCCTATCCTACATCTTAAATCCTAATTCTATGACAATTTATTTTCTATGAGATGTTACAATATAACTCCATGTTATTCACGGTACCTAGTTATAGTTCCAGGATTTCAAAAGAGATCATCCTCTTCCTTACTATCCTTGATGTTTTCTTAATTATAACAGTGTCAATGATTACTCACTTACCCAATGAATAATCTGATTTAGAATTCATGAATTGTTTGGGCTGATTATCGAACTGATTTTGATTTAGTTCATCTTGATTAGTTCTTTGACTCTTAACATTTTGAAATTGGTGAAATCGATGTGTATGATCTTGTCCTATTGGACTGTTACTGGTACCAGTAGGATATCTATATAATTTCTCAGTCTCTCCTAAATCACTGGGAAATAATTTTTCAATTGGACACTGTTGTACTACTGCAGAATGTTGTTGTGGTTGATGATGGTGGTGATGATGATGATATGATTTGCGTGCTGATTGACTATGAGAAAATGATGATGCAGATGAAGTATTATTGTCTGACAATTTCTTTGCATCCTCATTTGAATTATCTCTACTGTAAGTATCTTCATTTTGAGGGGTTCTAAACTGTGTTTCTGGTTTTAAACATTTATTCATTAAATTTTCATCGAAACTTTTTCTATACAACTGTTTTCTATGATGTTGATGCTGGAGTTGTTGATGCTGTTGTTGTCTGTCATAGAGATAATCATGCACAGTTGAACTATCAGACCCATGCTTTACTTCTAGTTCTGTTTTTGATGGATAAGTATCCATTTTTTGTATTCTCAATATTATTATATCATCATCCGGTGATTGTAAAAGTTGTATCGCCTCAGAAAGACTACATGATGAAAGATGAATACCATTCACAGCCAAAAGTATATCACCTGGATTGATGGAACCACTACGACTTGCAACACTACCAGGAATCACTTTACTAATTAATAAAGGTTGTCCAGCTGTTTTATTGATTGACGCTATTGATTTTTTTAGGAAAAAGTAAAAAATAAATTATTAAGTAATAGAAAACAATAGTTCATTGTTTTTATTCGAGATCACAAAGACAGACCACCGTGAAAACCTGGAAGCATTGAACGGCTGTCTCGTTCCAGTATGTAGTATGGGACCCGTCAGCAGCACGCATCCACGATTCCACACCTGGAGTTCAAATCGTGGACCTTCGGTCTTGCGCTCGAACACTTAACCCCTAGACCACTGAGCCGGCATCCAACGGTGTCATCTAAGTTGTCTGTTTTCTAACAAATGAAATGTTATTTCATTTATTAAGTGCTAAATGACCCCTGTACTTAAGAATAAAATTTTAGAGTTGTAAATGTTTAAACATTTAACTGTTGTAGTAGAACTAAATGTTATTCACTTTTAATTCACGAATATTTTCAGTCTTCTCGTGAACATAGAAATTTGATCAACCCTAAACTTAGACTGATAGAAGCTATGTTGTATTGATTGCCGCCGAAACATTCAATGAAATGTGTCGAGTAGAGGAAAAGTACTTCACCATTACTTAGTATGAATTATCTTCACGAACATATTGTGTTTTATAGTATTAAAGTTGTGACTTCAAAGCTCTCAGTCGATAGTCTTTATTTTAGTGTTGAGAACTGTTACACTTTTGCCTCTCTCAAACTCACGAGCCTGTTTGTTTATTCTTTTTAAGATGACAAAGAGATTGTTTATCAACATTAGAGTGATGACAGGTATTCAGTAATTCTCAATTTCTTTTGCACTATTGCTAATCATCATGAGTTTATGAAGAATATGTAATGTGATAACACAAAACTAGTATTACTAGTTAAAATTCTTCAGTCAATGGACTTTTACTAAGATGTTTAAACAAAAGATAAGATTGTACTGGTTCCTAATTCTAATCTAAATTTTAAAACTGGGATGCAGGCAAATTCAGTTGATTGATTCCAAATAATGAATAATTATGCATTCTGTATTCTAGTGCTCAACATATTCTGTGTTTCGTTAAACTTGTAAAATGATTATATTGAGGCAATTCGCTCAGGAAGTACTCATATAACAACAAAGACTGATCAGTTTGAACTCTTATTATTAATGATTTAGAACATAAAATAGTTACTTAAATCAACGCAAAAATTAGTACCTATTCAAATGGAATATAATGTGATTAACGAAAAACTGTTTCAGCTCACCTTGAAGATTAATACCTAAGCTAACCGATCTTCTTATTAATTTGACATCAAAAATACCCGTTGCAGGAACCACTGAATCTGCTACAGTATATTGTATTAAAAGTGTTAATGATTGAACACGGAAGTATTTCTTTTCAAAATCAGCTGGTTCTAAATATCTTTGAATTAATTCATCAATAGTTCTATTCAATGTAGATTGACCATTAATACATATTACTCTATCACCTTCTTGAATAACACCAGATCTGTAAACACAATATAAAATCCAATTAATATAAACGTTTTTAGAAAACAATGATTCTTGTTTAAATACTTACTAACTGTAAAATATAATTAACATACTGATAAAATTAACAATCATAATTGAGCCGCTTTAATTGGATGCTCGGACGCTTTTCAAATGAAGTAATTTGTACTTAAATCGTAAACCTGAATATGAACATTGACCCAACTCATCAAACATACATGTTTCTGTCATTTAAATATTATTTGACGTCATTACATATTCAATTCAATGCCAGCTTTGACTAACTTGTAAAATTAAAAACAAATCTCAGACCACTGCTTGCTCAGTGGTCTAAAGGTTAAGCGATCATGCGCGAGACCAAAGGTCCTCGGTTTAAATCTTGCGTGCAGGATCGTGGATGAGCACTGCGGAGGAGTCCATACTAGGATGAAACGGCAATCCAGTGATTCCAGGTTTTCAATGGTAGTCTAGCTTTAATCGACTTATGAATTCAACTACTAAAATTACTACAATCTTCACAAACCCCCATTCTGATCATAATTTATAAAGTGGCATTGTAAGTCACTGCGTACTGACATAACATCACTATAAGAGTTGTGTATGCTAATTATATCTTTTTACATAGGTAGTGTGTAACATAAATCGGAAGTTGAATGCATGGCAGTAGAAGGGTCGAGGAGTCGAAGAAAACGGAAATGGAAAAATAAAGGAATCATAAATTAGAAGAATCATACAAAATATGAAGGACAATTGATGAATGATTTGCAAATGAAGTATTTAATGTGTGGTTCTCATATTTTACCAAGATATTCTGTAATTTTGTATTAAACATTACCAGTGGTTGTCTCCACTTGAATTTTCGTTCACTAAATCAGCTAATATCACTTTGCATAAGACATTCATGGTTAATCAAAGATAAATATCTTTAAAAAAACACTTTAGTTTCTCACTTCACTAATAGAAAAAGCGACCAAACTGATCTTAACTGATTCGAATTATTGGCTTCGGCTTCATAGGAATGAAATTAGGTAAGAGATAATAGTAAATAATAGTAGCAAAATAGTTTATAATAACTAATATTTTGAGAATATGTAGTTAACTTCAGTAGAATTCAGAAATGAATTTCTTCTTATCTGATAAACTTATCTATAACTTTGTTAGTTCAGGTTTTATTAAATTAATTTGTTTGTCTGTTTAGTTTCTTTCATAAAGTATGAATGAATTGAGAAAAGGGAAACATTATTAAGCAAAGATGGATAGTGGCTAGCAGTGGAATCTAGGACGCGTGCTTCGTCCTACTTAGGACTCGTCAGCTGGCTGTACCTGCATCTTCGAGTTCCGGAGTAAACATTAATTGTAAGACAATATCGAGATAATATGAGCAGGATCCATATATGCCAAAGAGACTGATCAATTACAGTCCTAAACATGCATGAGGAGAAATTCCAGTTCACTTTCATAATAAAGCTTCTAGTCGCAATAATACAACAAATATGTATTTAACTAATTTATTAGAATAACACTAATTTCGCATCATCAGTTTGTAACAATATAAGACTCATATTATGTAGCGCACAGTCTGTTAGCTGCCTAGATCCACTAGATTAGTTGATAGTGCGTTGATGCTTTTAAAGAAAGGTACTAGGTCCTAGTCTTATCGTGAATATCAACAATGAGATGTAGCTATATCATGCTGGTGAGCCGCATGTAGGATGATACACATATCCTACATTCTATCTGCAAACCATATTCGATTTTAATAATTATATCAGTTGGTAGTTAGAAAATTTATAAGATTATTCATTGGAAAATCAAATAATCAATGTTGGAAGATTTACAAATTAGTCAGTCTTAAGATACATTTAATTCGTTTACCTTAGAAAAAACCCTAGTGGATAATTAGATTAGTTTGACAGTTTAAACTGATTCAAACAATCAATAGTGATTAATAATAAATGAACACTTGACTGAAACTACTAATTTCCTGTCAAATAACACTGGAAAGGAATCGGACAACAATGTTTGGAATGCTGGAATTTTCTGTTTTTCGTGCTTATAGTTATATATTTGTGTGATTACATACGTTGTCCCAACTATATATACACTTAATGACGCAAATTTGGTTAATCTGCTTGAAAGCAGACTGTCAAGATATAATGTTGTCAATTTATTTACTGGACAATTTGTACACTATGAAAAAGTTACAAAACGATTAATAGAGTAGAACTGAGAACGAATCTTTGTGTGTGTGTGTGTCTTAAGAAGTCAAATAGAAGGAGAAAGAAATATATTTTTACCTCATAAATATTTTTGAATTTTGAACAGGTTTTAGTGTTTTTCTGTCGTTTTATCGTTAAAATATAGTAATTCGTGGTAGGATATGTGAGGACTGTTATGGAGTAAATTTCCCCCTTAAGGACAAGAATAAATGGGTTGACTTTGCAAAATATATCAAAGAATTCAAAAGGAAGAAGACAGACCATTTAAATAAGTCAATATGAAGTATCTGTTTTTTTTCCCAATAATACTGTGTTGCTCTCTAACTAACTAGATACAATATAAACATCTGATTTGAAATGTGGACGATTATATCTCAATTCAATCGTCTAAATATAGTTCATATGAATTGAAACTAGGTTTCAAATTCAATCTTTGGTGAAGTTTGGAGTACACATAATCATACATTCCATATAAGAACGAAACAACTGATCAGTACTCCTTGGTTTTTCCAATGGTTGTCTAATTAAAGTCAATCTATGTTATTTACTGAACATCGATCAATCTCTTCATGTTTTCAATACATTATTGATACATTTAAAAAAAACTAACAACAATTCTAATTATCAGAAGGTGGTTTTGTGGAGTTTTTTGGTAATTCTATATAGTTGAAATCATGAGTCAATTGAAGTTAGATCACCATGAAAAACCTGGAAGCACTGGATGACCATTCGGTCCTATTGTGGGACTCCTCAGCAGTGCTCATCCATGATCCCACCATGAGAGATTTGAACCCAGAATCTATCAGTCTCGCACGCGAGCGATTAACTTCTACAAACACTGAGCCAGCATTCGACGGTGTTAATTTCTAACTTCAACCAATCCACGAGGTTGAGCAACCGTTCACTAATTGTCTTCAGTGAGTTGATATCTTACAACAGACCTGATTGAACTCTACTGGTCACTGCTTCTCACTAGAACTCCAGGAGGAGGAGGAGGAGTTACACAATAAGACGGAACGGCGGTCCAGTGTTTCTAGGTTTTCCATGGTGGTCTTACTTCAATCGATTCATGATTTCAACCTTATAACAATTCTAATTGTTATCATAACTTAAGTCCAGTAAATTATAAAAAGATAAACGAATAATATACTTTATTTCTCCACTTTTATTCATATGTTGTACTTAAATTAGTTTACAATAAATTATATTGAATCATAGATCAAATTAAAAACAATTAAAACAAATCAATAAAACATAATTTTTCTTTTCTCCCATCTATTAAGTAATAATCATAATTTATTTGATATAAGAAAAACAAAATAAACATTTTATCATGAAAATTATTTTTTTTTGTTAATTAAAATCCTTTTTATTTATTTGTTGTTTGGCAATAAATATCTCTATGATGAAAATAATAAGCTGGATAAAGAAAAACCGAAATAAAAACCGAAAAACAAAAAGAAAATCAATCGATGAAATAATAAAAAATATTCATATTTTGAAAAAAAGGTTTCAATTTTTTTATAAAATTTAAATCGGAAAACTGATTGAATATTTTGAAAAATAAAGAAAATTTGTTGTAAAGAAAAGAAAAAACGATTATTATCACAAGGGGGGGTGTTGTGGAGATTTTAGTAATTTTATATAGTTAAGATCATGAGTCAATTGAAACTAGATCACCATGGAAAACCTGGAAGCACTGGACGGCCGTTTCGTCCTATTATGTGAGATAGTAACTCACTGATGACATTGGTGAATGGTTGCTCAATTTCGTGAATCAGTTGAAGTTATACATTAACACCGTTTCGTCTTATTATTGGACTCCTCAGCAATGCACATCCACGATCCCGCCTCGCGAAATTCGAGACTAGGAACTGGCTCCATGAGGTAATTCCTGGAGTTCTAGTGAGAAGTCGTGGTCATTGGAGCTAATCTATGTCAGGTAGAGACAGGTATCGACCTCAAAACAATGGTAGTTGGTCGCGCAATTTCGTGGATTGGTTGAGGTTAGACATTAACACCAATGAATGCCGGCCGGCTCAGTGGTCTATCGGTTAAATGCACTGGCGCGAGACTAATAATTCCTGGGTTCTAATCCCGCGAGGTGGGATCGTGAATGCGCACTGCTGAGGAGTCCCATAATAGGACGAAACGGCCGTCCAGTCTTTCCAGATTTTCCATTGTGGCCTAGTTTCAATTGACTTATGATCTTAACTATATAAAAAAACGAGTTTGTTAATCAATCAATTGATCGTTAAAAACAAAAAAAAAGAGATTTGATATTTTATAGTGAATAGATTTTATTTGCTATAGTTTATTATTAGTACAGAGTATGAAAACTACAGGAAGGTCTATGACAGAGTGGGCTGACGAATGCTTGTCGGTGGCCTAAGCTCCATTGGGAGTAATAGGCGTAAGTAAGTAAGTAAGTAACTGAGAGTGAGAAAGTCAACATTACGATAGATGTTATAGTGGGAATAATAGAAGTTAAATAAATATTGAAATTAGAATCAAAATTCAAAATGAAATCACAAAATGAAAAGTATGAATTAATATTGAAATCTAAATCTTGAAAAAAATGCAAGAAATGAGTATACCTACGGTACGACTGTTAACTTCAAATAATATCATAGATTTTAATTAGCTTCTTAATCTATAACAAATATTAAGCCAATACTCCTATGGAAATCAGGTATCAAAGATTTCTGAGATTTATACTTTATTCAGCTAGCAATTTTCATGGTCTTTAACAGATCTATTCCTATTCTAGCTAACATAGTATATCGGGATTCTTGGATGTTACATACGCGAAATACACAATTCTACTACTTCACTAGGTGATTATTGACGAGGACATCAGACGACTTTTCATTTCGACATATGATCAGAGCATTACTCATTCTATGCTCTTCTCTATAAACAAGTCATACTTTGAAAGCATTTGTGATCAAATAACAAAAATGTATACATCTTTCTAGCCGTCCGAGACTACTACATTACAACTATAAAATAAAATAGTGGAAACTGTTGAGTAGTACCCTGGTTTATGTTCATTGTCTTAAAAACTGCAAAACTAAACTGGTACATTCTCTTTAATGGCAAGTATAGATATACCCATCAACCAATCTAATCTTTATCTCCCCGAATACAGTAACTTAATGTGATTAAAAAACTACATAGAATTTTTTTCTTTGTCTATGTTTCACAACTGCAGTGAAATGTTGAATGTAATGTTAAAATTGCATTATCATTAACATATATTTAATTCTATACCAAAAATGGCACAGTGAATTCAGATTTCGAGGACTTAATTAACTAATGTTGATAGACTATGGCCAACAGTGCTAATGTTCACACAAGGGCTTGAACTCAGTAACTTTCATTTCAAACGTTAACAAGTCACACAAGAGAGCTATTGCATCCGTACAAACACCAGCCTATTGAATGGATATAAAGTTATATATGTATGGCTTCAAGTTTTTCTAATGTTAATATCATGGAATATTGATAAAATGCATTTAACCGTTTCAATTTCACAGAGAATAAAACCAAGCAAACAGTTTGTTGTATTATTGTTTGTAATAATCCACACAAACTACAATACTCGAATACACATAAATATTTTTGAAACTACTGTATATTTTTAATAGATTATTGAATTTTATAAAATACTGATTAATAACAAAGAATATATCCCTTGCTCGAACAATACAACTGATTTGTGGGCGAGAATGATAATGATTGATTGTTTTGCTGAGTCAAACATGTAGATAGTGTAACAGGTGTTATATGTGTTATATATTTCCTTATCCTTATTATTAATTTTGATTAACTGTTCTTGTTCTTGAATTGTGTCGGATTTTGGTGTGGGAATATACTGACGTTCTAGTCAGGCTAATCTCATGTTCTTGATCTGAGTTGTGTTGAAGTCCTGTAGAATAGACACTGGGTGGGAATCTAGTGTAGATATTCGTCTAAGGTAAATTAACGTCCCACATACGTGTAAAAAGTGAAATTACTGTTATAACAAGAAACCCCAGCTTTATAACAAGTCTCCTACCGTTTATAACAACAACATAAACATAAACATATATATGTAATTAAGTATAAATACACATCATTAATGGTTACGGACAAATAAATATTTTTATTAGGCATAATTAAATTCTATCAAATGGATGTTTGCATGATCGTTTACAAATACAAAGGTTTTAAAACAATTAGTCCCTTTGATAAATTTCGATAATGCATTATCGAAATACAAAGGTATTTATTTTAAAAAGTAAACTGAATATTAATAAGGAAATACGTTACATATTTTAATATTTAATGGTTGAATTCATGAGTAAATTAAAGCTAAACCACCATCGAAAACCTGGAATAACTGGATGGCCGTTTCATCCTAGTATGAGGCTCCTCAACAGTGTGCATTAACGATCCCGCCTCAAGAGATCCAAACTTAGAACCCTCGATCACGCTCACGAACACTTAACCTCTAGACCACTAAGTCAGTATCCAACAGTGTTAATGTGTAACATCAATCAATCCATAAAATATTTCCTCATAATCAGTAAGCAATAATAAAACAATATTTTTTCTTTTCCTACACATTATCGTTAATTCTTCTTTTCATTCCTAATAAATAAATTATCATAATTCAATAATAATTATCATTTTATTTATCTTTCTTTATCTCTTAATTGTCATTATTTTAATTTATTCATAAAATAATAATAATAATAACATAAATAAAAAAAAGAATTCAAAAGAAACGGGAAAAATATATAATCACTATAAATTAAATAATTTAAATAAACAATCATTCAATGATTCAATCGAATTTTATTATTTTTTAAAATAAAAAAATAAAAAAAATTCAATTAAATTATTCTTAATTGTTAAATAATTAATTTTTAAAAAATTATTAAATATATAAATCTTACATAATATTGTCTATTTAATAAATAATTAAATAAATAAATAAATTATATGGATTGCTTTGGATAAACATATTTTTCTTTAGCCAATATTATCGAATATATATGTATTCCTATTCTAGTGAACAGAACACAAGTGGGGACAATCGAATGTAATTTAGTACAACATTATAGAATATCTCAATAAAATATGAGAACCATACAATAAACAGTTAATTTTCAAAATAACAATCAATAATCTTAATTAGACTGTTTCTTCTGCAAATATACGTCCATAATCTTCAATTTTAATTGTTCATGCATTTTTGTACCCAATTGCGTGCCTTTCCCGTTCTCTCCTTAACTATCTTCCACTGAAATACATTCAATGCCCGACCATCACCATATAAAAATGAGCAACTTTTTAAAGACGTACGATGAATGCATCATCAACTAGTCAGTTAAAACAAATTTAAAACGCCAAAGAAAACAAATAAAATTTTATATCATTGAGATCATGAGTCAATTGAAGCTAGATCACCATGGAAAACCTGGAAGCACTGGAGGGCCCTTTCGTCCTATTGTGGGACTCCTCAGTGCACTCAGGTTTTCTATGGTGGTCTAGCTTCAATTGACTCATGATTTCAACTATATAAAATTACTAAAATCTCTACAAAACCTCCTTCTGATAAAACAAATGAAAGTTTGAATTTGATTCTCTTTAGATTTTTGTTTTTGCAAAACAGTAATTTTATATTCAAATAGATCATTATAAAGTCAAAAGTATTCAAAATAATTGATAACTATACAACCAACTGGTGGCCTGCTTAAGCATCTGGGCTACTTCTTCCTGTTATCTGGATATTTCAGCAACTTATCTAATTTTGCTTGTTTTGATACATCATTATGGCTATTACTCGCATTACTTATTTATGCGCATTTCTACATTTCGATAAAGCTAGTACTACTAGTACTACTACTAATAATAATTTGAAATATCTGACTAAATTGATGAAATGTTGTAGTTTTACATTACAAACTGACATTAGTTAAACAAACAACCATTGATAACCAGAAAGAACTAAATATCCTAGTGTAGAAGGCTTCAGTAGTATGAATCCAGAATTTTAACAAAGATCAAATTTAATACATTGAGTCTTCATGGCTAAAAGCTTGACCTACTGATCACTGAGGTGATATCTAAATATTCATCTATGTCAAGTGATTAGGAGCTTTATTTCTAGAAGCATACCTCAAAATTACTATAGTGATGTTGTTTTTAAATGTTAAAGCGGTTCAATGGTACAAACCCGAAGTTGTTTTTTTTTCATTATGCCAATAGCATTTAATACTTTCGGAATACTTTGACACCATAATTAAAATAAAATAAAAATAGTATTGCTCATTCATTCATTCAAACACCAATTATTATCTATTCACCGGAAGTAAATAATTACCAATATTTATAATTCAACGTTATTGTTTCTTTCTCTACCTTTAATCTGTAATTGTCATTATTTCATAGATCAAAAAAAGAAGAAGAACCAAATGCAAGTCATTTGGAAATTTGTTAATTATATTCATTATGGCGGATATGTAAAGAAGATCAGAGTTTTCTTTAAAAGAGTATACACTTAAATAGGATTTTATAATTTTATTGATTTCTAATAGGATTAACAATTAATTTGTAAATGGTAATATGAATGATGTTTGTTTTCCTTCGTAAAGCTACTTGTAAACTGAAAATTAGTTTCTAACATACATCCTGATAGGGAGAATAGAAAAAAGTAGAACTTTAAAAACATTATGAACTAAATTATGATCAATAAGTAATAGTCGATGTAACACTATATATATATATATATACTTCTGCAAAGTATTAGGAATTCAGTTCTGCCTAGTGGATCTTATCCTAAAATAGGACTCCTCCGCAAAGTACAGTCACGATTCATCCACAACAGGATTCAGTGAGCTAGCATTCAAGTATCACGATCTTCAAGTTTGAACAATTCGTATTACTACTTGGTCGTCATTCACCAAGATCACTGAAAACTATATCATTCCTGAGACGTCTAAACTGAAATTTAAAGATTTTTCCATGGGTATAATTTTTTCACTAACAATCTACCAAAGTAGATTATTTTACAAAAATACACCATATACTACTTTTATGTTTGTGAAAATTAAAATATAACTTAAAAAATTAAAAACAATAGCCATTTGTTATCATTTAGATATCCACTTACTTAAATGCTGGTCCACGTGGATCCACTTGATCGATTAAGGGAAAGCTGGTCAATTCTAAAGAGAATTGATTTGATATTGGAGCAATCAATGTAAATCCATATCCTATATATTCATATGGCTCAAGTTGCACTTCAACTTCTTCACATCGACAAGCTGCCGTTGGTGTACTACTCAATGGAGTTGATGATCTTAAAGATCTCATGGATTTCAAACATTCTATCAAAATAAAACAAAGTATATGTTTTTAGTGAACTATTTGTTCATACAAGGACGTAGGAGATAATAATACTTTCTCATTTTAACAGTGATCATTATTCAAATATTAAAGCGTTTCCAAGATAGAATCAGGTGAGTAGATTTGCTATTTTCTTTTTTTTATCAAGTATTATGCTTACTCAAATATAAAGAGTACTATTTCTTAGAGTGATCTGTTTACAATCAGGTTTCTCTCATAATTTTATAAGAATACAGTTTACGCTTTGATACTGTGAATCTATTTTACATGTGTCGAAGTTAATTTTGTTCAGGTGTAGCTATTTTCTTGAAGCTATTACTGGTTACAGTCCATGAAATGTCATGATCCTGTAGCTTGTATATACCCTATAATTTCGAACGCTTCAAGAAAAATGACTTTAGTTTATTTCAAAAAAACTGATGTGAATATAATCAACAACAGATATTATAATTATTATCAGAATGGGGAATTTGTGGAACTGTAGCAATTTAATAGTTGGATTCATGAGTCAATTAAAGCTAGATCATCATGGAAATCCTGAAAGCATTGGACGGCACTTATTCAATGAAGACGATGGTGGACAGTGGCGCAATATCATAGATTGGTTCAAATTAGACACCAACACTGTTGGATACTGGCTCAATGGTCTAGAGTTTAAAGGTTCGCAAGTGGGACCGAAGGTGATGGGTACAAATTCCGCGTGCGGGATCGTGGATGCGCACTGTTGAGTAGTCTCGAAGGAAGATGAGACGGCTATCCAGTGATTCCAGGCTTTCGATGATGGTCTAGTTTTAATTTACTCATGAATTCAACTATTAGATAGCATAATCTAATATATATGCACTATCTATAAATACTTAAGTCATTTTATATAAATATTTGCTTTTTGAACGTGAAAACATGTGTAAACTATGAAAGTTACAATCACAATTGTTAGGAAAAGTGAAGTTTCACTGAAACTATGTACTTCATAATTGTTTAGTTTATTGGTTTCTAGTCAGTCAGTGACAATCAACTTTAACTTCAATAAAACATTTTGTAATAGTTTTTTAATCGTTATCCATTATAGTGTATATCTACTGATGAATGAATATTTCCTAGTGAATCAATAGAGTTGTATTTTGAAGAACTTTTTAATAATGAAATCTAAGTCTTATATTTCCGTTTATTTATCATTTGTCAGATAAATGAAACTGTAACTAAATATCAACGTTTACAATGTAACTTTAAATCAGTGATCATTATTTGCTACACTACAGTATTATCATTTAGTAACCTCATTATATATGATTAGTTGAAGAGTATGTATTTTCCTATTGTATTTCACAAACGAACTAATTTCTTCAAATAAGTAAACTGTTTTACAAATATTTACCGGTGAAAAATGATTGTTATTACCTTCAACGTTCATACAAGTTCAATTTATAGATGGATGGATTACAAAAGAGAAAGAGACTAAGACTTAGTTGAATACAGGTATCATGTTGAAAGTGCTATAATAAGATTATTTGTAATCATCAAAAATAATAATAATAACAGTGAAGTAATCGTGAGAATGTCAATGATAGATGATGATGAAGATTTAAAGGAAATGAAATGATGAAGTGCATTCACTTTATCCTACAATATTTGTTATTATAATTGAGCGCTTGATCCGTTTTTCTTAATTTCCTCTAGTAACCTCCAGGCTAAATATACATGTCAACTTCACCACAAAAAAAGCACGAAATATGAAAATAACACTTTACTTCAAGGTTAGTTCATGTACAGAAAATCTAGAGTATTTTTAGCATTTCAGATAACCATGTGCTTCTGAAGAGTTCTGGAACCCTTCGAAACATGGTAGCAGAATCGGCAATCATTCAATTAGAAATGTGACACGTGACTTTTCACTTTCTAAATATTTCTAAGAAACTTCTATTGAATGCTGATTAGGTAAGGTATTTCTCAGCGTTTTCAAGGCCTCTTTAGGCTTTTTTGTTCAAGAAATTTTCTGGGTCTTCCAAACTAAAAATATTTATCCAAGGAATTAATTACTAGATAACATAATTTGTTTTGAATACTAAGAAACAAAGAACATCTAATATGATATGATCATTTGAACGATGCCTTCATTTCGCTTTCATATCTACTCTGATAGTTCATTAGTAAAAATAAGTTACAATATTTTTTTTTCTATTTTTACGGTAGATATAGTCAGTTACCAGGTGGTGTATGAATATCCAGGTAAAATATTTTAAATCTTTCCCATGTGAACACTTACGAAATGAATTTTAAACGATTTTTTTTCAGTTTATCACCAACTATACTAATTAACTAAATAAATCAATATGTTTTACATTTATTTTCTATAATAATTGAATGATGCCTTTTTTCGTCTTTCTACTTATAGTTTGAAAGGGAAGAAATACAATGGAATGGCATTTCATAATAATAATCAATTACGTAATTGAAGAAGATAAAAAGAAAAGGATAAATGAGAGAGAGAGTGTGTGTGTATGTATGTAATAAATGACAAAATGGAAATTATTAAGAAATGATTAGATTCTATTTATAATACCTGAATTATTTTGTACTGATTTATCTGAATTCATTATAGCATTTGGTACAATTTGTAATCGTATTACATTTAGACCATTATTTTTTAATCTGTACATTGCTTCATGAAGTTTCATATTTTCTACACATATATCATCGATTGATTCAACTCGATCACCTTCAAATAGTGCTCCACATCTATAAAAAGGAAAGTAATTTGGACTGTGTAAAAATTTAACGAAGATGATGATGAAGTTTTATACGTGTCAATATATCAAATTTCTTAGTTTATATTACAGACTGACACTATCATTTTAAACCAAGAAGCACTGAATGACTGTTTCAACTTACTGTGGAATTTAAGAGTATTAATGATCTACAACTGCAATAAGAGTTTAACTCAGGCCTTTCATATCTTTCGTAGATCACCTAATCCTTAATTAAACCACTGGTTTATAATAAATCCAGCTTCAATTAACTCATGATTCTACTCAATCATCTTTCAATCTAATTGAGGGAGCGGTTGACCAATAATTCCTGGTTTACAGTAATTATCTAACTATGATCAATAATCTCAAATCTTTTGGGATAATATTAAATTTTAATCGAACAACGTTTGATATACTTTTATACACATTAAGTATCATAATAAGTTCAATAGATGAGTTCCAACGTGATTGATTTTTGTCCTTCCAAAAAAAAAATATACATATGGAACAATGAAAATGATTTAACTAATATGATGTTATAGTATTTCGAATCATATTAGGTTATAAACTTTTCAAAGGAAACAATATAAGTATAATATGTGATTTACACACAATAGTTGCCAAGTTTTTATAAAGCTAAAATAAGTAACTTTATTGCAACATCTAAAGAATTGAAAATTAGATGACTTGAAATTTTGATTAATACATCCAAAATTGAAATAAGTAATAAGATTTTTATTGACGTGCGTTGTTGCTAAGACGAATTGTTATTGTAATGAAATTTATGTCGTTATTAATATAAGTTAGAACAAATGTTCTAGTTAAAATTATAAAAAATTTTGTTTCTAGTCAGTTTTGTAAAGATTCAATTAGATTTCAACTCGATAATTTATTTGTTTGATTATATCTATGACAATATAGGAATGAATATTACACTTATGAACATGAATCCTTTAGATCACTGAGTCAACGAATAATAGTCAACAGTTTAAAGATACCCATATCATAGAAAATCATTTTCACCTTTATTAAATGACTTTTCTAATTTACAAATAACACAATTTTGAAGTATATAAGTCGTAATAGATGTAAACGTTCACCATTTTAAAAACATATAACATTGTCAAATTAATTAATACATGCCTCATTTTGGCCTTTGTAAAATATCATAATTATGGATTAATAACCATAGAGCCTGATGGTGAACATAGTGAAAACAATTTTTCGCTCAAAGATTCTTCAGTTTTAATTAATGGTCAATATTTTCAAATCGCACAGTCCACCAACTGAAGAAATTATCAAATATACGTCAATGATACTGGATCATTATCTTGGGCATTTTTAAACTTGAAAACTCCGCACTAGACCTAATAAATGCACACTTCTAATGAGTTATACATTAGAATGAAATAAGTATTTACTAATTCACTAATTTTCAATGGTTTTGTGACTGTTTAAATTTTTCATCTAATATACCATCTAAATGTACAAACACCATGGAAGCAAATTACTCTAACGAGTATTGACAGAATGTAAACATGTCTAATTACATTAAATCATTGGGAAAATAACTTTTAATATATATATATATATATATATATATATTTCAAAGTTGAAATCATGAGTCAATTGAAGCTAGACCACCATCAAAAACCTGGAAGCACTGGACGGCCGTTACGTCCTATTATGGGACTCCTCAGCAGTGCGCACACATGATCCCGCACTCGCCGTCCAGTGCTTCCAGGTTTTTGATGGTGGTCTAGCTTCAATTGACTCATGATTTCAACTTTGAAATATACTGAAATCTCCACAAATCCCCTTCTGATATATATATATATATATATATATGCATTAAGCTAAATTGATTAATGAAAAATTACTAATGACAAGGAAATTAACCAAAACAAAATTTCAAAATAGTCAAATGAAATTGACAAAAAAAATTCCATAGTTACTATTACCGTTTAGTTAAAAATGAAATAATAATCATTCATTATCATATGATTTTGATCATTCTTCTTTTTTACAAATATAAAAAGAGAGAAATAACAAAACTTTTTGAAATTTATACCATTTCTATAGTTATAAAACCCCATAAATTGTACATTGATTTCACAATAGGGGGATCATGTGAATTTAGGTTTCTTGGTAAGTATATTGATAAACTACAATGTATGTATTGACATACAAGTATATATATATATATATGTATATATATATGAATAAGAAACAAACAAAACAAGGACTACTATATAAAAACTAAAGTACTCACACACACAGACACACAAAAACGCATTCAAAAACAGGACAAATTAAAAAACCTGATTATCTGTGTTTTTCTTATGTGTTTAGGAAAAGATAAAACGTCTGTTCAATTTAATTTATTATTATTATCATCATCATAAAATGCTATTTCTTTTTCGGTGTTCAATTTTCAATGTTATATAGATTAAGATTCCGAATTCATATTAGTAGAAAGTGCTAAATATAGAAGAATAATTTTATGGTGTATTATGAATTCCATATTCATGAAAATCTTTGAATACTTAATAGAGGAACCTACTGACATGATACAATTTGTCATTACAAATAAGTAGCATATGTAAGAAACGAATATAATCGTCTTGGTAATTATACATTCTGAAAAAGGCATTAGATAGTGAAATATATTTTACAATTTTTTTATTATCAGAAAGGGTTTTGTGGCGATTTTAGTAATTTTATAGAGTTGAGAACATGAGTCAATTGAAGCTAGACCACCATGGAAAACCTGGAAGCACTGGACGGCCGTTTCGTCCTATTATGTGAGATAGTAACTCACTGATGACATTGGTGAATGGTTGCTCAATTTCGTGAATCAGTTGAAGTTATACATTAACACCGTTGGATGCCGGCTCAGTGGTCTATCGGTTAAGGGCTCTGGCTCGAGATTGGTAGGTCCTGGGTTCGAATCTCGCGAGTGCGGGATCGTGGATGCGCCCTGCTGAGGAGTCCCATAATGGGACGAAACGGCCGTCCAGTGCTTCCAGGTTTTCGATGGTGGTCTAGCTTCAATTGACTCATGGTCTCAACTCTATAAAAAATTTTTATTCTTTGATGGTTTAAATCAGTATGAAATTTAAAGTTAAACATTATGTTATCTTGCTAGACACTTTGATTAGAGTGGTAATATGGTATGTTAACTTTTGTATAATGAGAATGACTTAATATTTATGCTGTTCCAGTATAATCAAGCTTCTATTGATAAACTATGATCTTTTAGTTAGATAACAGTTATTATTGTTATATTCTGTGGAGATTTATGAATGGTAACTTTGAGAACTATTTGTGGACCAATATGACATAAATATTTCCTGTTGTATAATTGTTAAGTAACTAAACTATTCATATTCGTGTCCCTCTAATTATAAGCTTTATTTTGAACTATAAACTATTATTGTACGATGTATCATTCTTGAGTTATTCCTAGTGCATTAATTACTGTTCCCTCTTTTCACAGCCACATTTGGTCAAATCTTGTACAAATATTATTTTCTATTTTATGGTACGATGTGGTCAATTTGTTTGGTATATTAAATTAGTATGTTTGAGAATAATGATTCATATTGCATAGGCTACTATTGATGTTCTGGACCTAACTGGCTAGGCTAGGCAGTAAGCAGAGCTGATAAGTACTCAAGACTGCTCATACGGCTTTCGTGTATCATTGCTCTGATCGATAATTCACCCCTCTCTCATTGGCGGAGATCATCACATCATATATTAAACAGGACACGCACATAATCAATATAACAGTTATCAACTACTGACGTGAATTTATGGTTTCTGGTGTCTTTAAATCACAACCGTTTTCACCTAAACAAGTATACAAAATAAAAATGATGAAAAATGAAAAGTTGTCAACTGACCACTGAAATATTTAACTTTTACTGTCTAATTTATTTTAGATAATGTAATTTCTCCAAAATAAATTTCATTAACAAACTTGAAAAAACTTTCAATCACCTTGGTGAACCATTTTCCTGTGAAGTTAGCACTGAATAAATTTACTGTTATACGAAATATTCTTTCTTATTATTGTGACACTTAATAAACTTTCTGTTCAAATTTAATTCTTAAACAATATCTATAAATTGATAGTTCAAAGAGTTGCAAACTGTATGATAATTAGCCGGGAAATTAGCTTCACACAATAACATGTTATTATTCGATACTCATTATATTGATTAAATTGTTTCTGTGTGTGTTAAGACATGACATAAAATATATCATGAATTATTTCGACCTGGTTGACCTGGTTGATGATCAGGGAGCTCCAAATAATTCATCTAAGTAAGAAACTACCCGATAATTTATACTTTACACCAAATCTCTTACTTGTAAACAATTTAGCTAGATTTCAATGGTACACATATCCGGTTTCAATCAAATCACAATATCTTTTAACTGCCATTCAATTTCTTAGATTATGACTGTCTCAGTACCTTTAAACTTGGAAACTATGGTTTCTTAACAAAAAATGTTTCAAAGCTACTTACTAGTGAAGGATAATCACTTTATACTAATCACTTGGTAATGATTTAATAGCTCTGATTTAGTTAATTATATAAACAGACCGACATCAAATTAAGTAATTTTCCTTTAAAAAAAAAAAGAATATTCTTTACTTATTATGTTGAGAGGCTTTTTTTTATAAAACTGGTAAATTGTAATTATTTAATAACTGCCCATCAACTTGTCATCATAATCTAATTTACATTATGTATAAAACATACAGAAACTAGAAACGATAATTGAAAATGTCATAGACACGTGTTATATGACAATTTATCTCATAAGGAATAATTAAGTAGTATATATATCGTCAACTTTAAATTAATATTATTCTCCTAATAATATCTATTTACTATCAAAAGAATTTCTAATCACATGTGAACTTATGACCTAGTAAAAAAAAGTAAAGAAATATAAATGGGAAACCAAAAAAAAGAAAAAGGAAAAACAGGAAAACCCTGAATGTTTACTAAATTTATTAAACAAAATACAAAAATAATTCACGATAAAACATGATTGGGCAAATAATTTTTGTTTTTTTTGTTGTTGATTTTTTTAGAGCAAAATTCATTACACCCCCCTCCCCGATAAAAAACCAACATTTTTTTTCTTTCTTATAAACATTATAAGTTAAATTCACTTAGTATTTGTTTGTTTGAATCTTCCCATGGATGTGTTAGGACTGTAACTGGTCAGTCTCTAAATGAAGGCATACAGTGATGGAATTGTTTATTTATTTATTTTTAACTAAGGACAAATTTATATAATCAGTAATAAATTAGATTCATTATATCATTAATGAATACAAGTGATTACAATCAATAAATGAATATACCAAAAAAGTTGAATTTTTTTCAATATTTAGATTAAAAGTTAATTAGATTGTTAGTTTAAGTACAAAAAATAAACAATGACTTATCCTTAAATTTCCAAACTAAATAGAAACAATGAATTCTTTTGTGTTTTTTCGTTTTCTTTTTTTTTGGGGGGGGGGTTCATCCAGCAGAAATCAACAAACTATTAAATTATACTTGACATAAGTTTTTGTTTGCAATTGAAGTTTGCAAAAATAAAATGATTAAAACAACACTTAAATATGTTCTGTAAGTTTGTGAATACTTATTGATGATAAGTTTTGAAAGAGGATGAAACAGCCATGTAGTACATCCTTGTTTCCTGTAATTCTTGAAAAATATAAACTTTATATGAAAACTGCTTACAGACTAAGCTAAACGTCTAGCTGTGTAGTGATAAATTTTAGAAAGTTTCACCAGTAAGAGGCACATTACTAGTTGAATTATTAAGTTAGGAGGCAGAAATAAGATACAATCTAACTTAACTGCAAAGTGACTAAAGGTTAAAATGTGAAATATTTCCCTCCAGACTAAGTAGTGAAACACCCTTTCCTTTAGATCTGAAAGTTCTATGTTCCATCGCGCATATAGTTATAAGCATGCTTTGCTAACAAATTTTAAACTAGAATGAAGTATAAATAATCAAGATTTTAATCGTTTCATTAGACGAATCGAATAGATACCTCTTCTCAGTATACGCCGCATACTACATAATATTATATACACGAACTATTTGCGACAATTGCTGACCTAATATTTCGTTTTTTTACTACTTATTGATTTTCTGAACCGTTTTTAAAGATGTTTCTATAGTATCTTCGACTTTCATTATGAAATATCAAACCATTATTTAAAGTGGTATTTATTTATGTACATGTGCTTTATAAGTGATAAGCTAATCAGTTAACTATATTAAACCAGTAACTATCATGAAACAAGTCAAACTATTAACCAGTTATTAACTTAAATAGACGGAATTGATATAACTTATTTGTATGATAACTACGGTTAGTTATGCTGGACTGAAGTACCACTGGTAACACTACAGATAAAGTGAAAAACAATATGCGTTATTAAATTTAGTTACGAAGTTTTATTCATAATGATTAGTAAGTAATTTGGCGATTAGGTGTCTAAAATCCTTGAGTTCAAATAAGTAGGTTAAGGTTTCAAATCAAATGTTACTTTGGTTTTTACAATCAAGTAATATTACTAGCTCCCATACATAGAGTAAATCTCAGCATGGTATATATAAGCCTGTACTTGATAATTTAATTAAGTAGTCACTAGTAATACTATTATTATGAGTTAATTAATTTTTGTGATACTTAATACATCGAAGATTTGAAATCTATCTACAATGATTCTTTTTATATCGATATATCAAGGAATTTCATACCATGTACACGAAGTCTTCCACTTTTCTGAATACAAACTATCCACTAATCTGCTATAATGTTTCATTAGCATTCAAATTATTTGGTTAGGTTACATAATTCACTAAACAGGGTTATTTTTTAGCTCCTTATGTATATCAAACGAATATTTGATCAGTGTTTGTCAAGCCATAGTATATGTTTTATCGCACAATTCTGATAAAAAAGAAGCTTCTTTTGTTTAAAAGGTTAGATAAGCTGAAAGTAAAACATTAATTAATATGAACCATGTAAATATCATTGTAGTAATCGATAAACTGTATTACACTAGACTATTGTTAACTGTTACGTTGGAATGTAAGCTAATATGCACGTTTGTAAAACAATCAGTTTATTAATATACTGTAAAGGTTAAAAAACGATGCATAATTACTTGTTTTGAACAAATTATAATCGAAATGTTGAAAGTAAAGAGTAAAATTTAGACTGAAGAGTAGAGAGGGGGTTAATGTGTTACCCTACTGTTTACTTACAAAAATATCTAAGATTAGAGATTAAACTTCTAATGTATAGCCAAAGTATTCATGATTGAATAGACCATTAGTATGATTATATAAGTATTTACGTGAATTAAATTAGAAATCAATAACAATTAGTAGGTATCAAAAATAACACAATTTTAATTCATTGATTTACCTATCTGCTATACTTCCTTGTCTGATATTATCAATGAAAAATGCATTTTGACCAGTTTTCACTTCATGACATGGTGCTAAACTAATTCCTAAATCTTCATTGGCTGGTTTTTCAATTTCAACTACAACTGCACCAGATATACGACGATCTTTTTCTGAAATGTAAAACAAAATTTGTATGCAAATATTAATCAACTAGACCCAGTTATGATTATAGACTATAGTAATTTAATAATAACTAAATAATGTGAAAAAATCATTAATTAAAGTGATTTTATAAAAAATTTGTATCATAATAAGTTTTTTTTCTCGTGAACTTCAAAATCTGTCGGTGAATGTTTGTTAGCTAAGAACCAGTAGAACACTGGATTTTAATTCAACGTCTAGGAAGTGTCACACTCCTTGAAACTGATAAAGGTTTTCCGTTTAGTTCATTTGTAGAGAAATCCTTAACTGGATCAATTCTTGTCAGTTTTCAACGGATAACACCATCAGTCAACCAATCTTAATTAAAATAATCGTACTCTAATTTTAAGAATGTTATTTTACAAAGAATGACATCTATAGTTCGCTGCATGTATAAAACTGAAACATCATCATCCAGTCTATCTCCTGTAGAAATAAACAGATCAAGACATTTCTCACTATATTATCTTTTCCTGTATTTATAATTCAGTAGAAAAACGAACAAAATATTTGCACAGATCAACGAGAAATACATTTTCTACATAATTTTCACTATCTAATCTTTGATTTAATATCACATGTAGGATAAATATACTTCTAAAACACAACCTAAAACAGCTAGTGATAAAATGTGACAACTCAATCATTTATACAAATACAACATACTGTTTCGTTCATTCGTTCTAATATATATATATATATATATATATATATATATATGTAAATACTCCAGTATAATTGACCTTACACTCTTCTTGTTAGTAAGAATAATGATAATAATAAGTAAAATAGTACAGGTTTTGTAATTTGTTAAAAGATAGAGTTGAAAAACGATGTAAAATTGAAATTTATTAGAATAAGGGTAGTAATTTTATTAGTTGTATTCATGAGTCAGTCTATGAAGAGTCCTATAGTAAGACGAAACTACTATCTAATGACTTCAGGTTTTCAATGGTGGTCTAATTTAGATTGACTTGTGGATTTAATTAATAACATTGAAATGTACTAGTTACATAAATTAAATATATCGAATGTGCTTGTAATCATTTATTAGAAATTTAAAAAGTACCATATTAGTGTTGCATGCAAAAATATAATACAATACAATATTTAATTGATTATTTTATTTGTCCACAGACAATGAATCCTATATCATACATGATTAGATTGTAAATCAGCTTTTTCATTAACTATTGAAGGTCAATTTTTCAGTTTGAAGATTATGAAGGTATAGTTGATGATTAAATAGTCGAAATTACATTGTAAAATTAAATACGTTTTCAGTATAGACTTGTGGTGTGGGTTACTTATATCCACATAAGTAGTATGTGGTGATGGTCAGACATAGAATGTATTTTGGCAGAAGATCGATGAGGGAAAAATAGAAACGAAGTGCATGAACAATGAGATCAGAGAAGATGGACTGATATTTGCAGAAGAAACAGTCAGGATTGAGATAATTGATTGTTATTTTGCATATCAACTGTTTATTGTATGGTTGTCAGATTTTAGTGAGATAGTTTGCAGTTTGTGCTTAAGTACATCCAATTGTCCCCACCCGTGTTATTGGTCACTACAGACTGATATCTCTTACATTAAATAACTTTTAAAGTATAGATTTAATCCATTTTAAAAAGTATTAATTCACTCAATAGTATAAATCTATATGGTCTTGTATAAACAATCATAATACCATTTTATATATTATATTGGTGTAATAATATTAAAAATATTCTGAATTCGTTTTAAGTAGTATATATATTAGTTTTTATAAGAATTTCATTCACAAGCTACCATCAATTGAGAAACAATAAACCACAAGTGATACTACATATAGCCAAAGTTACGGTATCACAATCGCGCAGAGAAAGTGATCTCATTAAGTTTCTATGTCAACGTTTAATTGACAACAATAATAACTTTCATCAATTTGATGACTCAATATGATTACTATAAAACTTCATTAAAGTTAATCGAATGGAACATCATGATCCAGTTAACAATCAGTATCAGTTTTAATTTAATCAATAGTATTTATAATCCAAGTTTGTTATCATCAAATCGTAAATATTCATAAAGTAATAGATGAGTTTTATTTAAAATCATATTATACTACTTTAAAAATAAACTGTTAGTTGAAAGCGTAAGTCGATTGAAGCTAGACCAACATGAAAAACCTGGAAGCACTGGGAGGATATTTCATCCTGTTGTGGGACGCCTCAGCAGTGCTCATCTACGATCCCACCTCGCGGGATTCGAACCTAGGACCTACCATTCTCGCGCGCGAGCACTTAACCGATAGACCACTGAGACGGTATCAGATGGTGTTTATGTCTAACTCCAACCAATCCATGAAGTTGAGAAACCGTTCACCAATTGTCTTCAGTGAGTTCCTATCTCACAACAGACCTGGTTTGAACTCCACTGGTCACTGCTTCTCCTTTTCTTTTTTCTCTTTCCAAATTTATTTCATTGGATTATACTCCTTGATTAATATCATCAAACCCTAATCTATCAGATTACTGTTTATACTTTTACTACTTCTACCACTATGAGATTTGAATCGACAACTGCATCTCTGTGCTAATGTGGTATGGCAACTCGAACTGATGTACGTACGTACGTACGAAGTTCTACGTTGTAACTGACTGACCATTATACATAAATAATAATTTATTTAGTAGGATATAAATGCGATCATTAAATACTATTCTTCAGAGATATCTTAATCCCATGACGAAAAATATTGAATTTAATAATAATGAAAAAAATTTTTTCTAGATATCGGCTGTTTTCATTGTTTCTGGCGAAATTAAAACAAAAAAAACAAATATCCAGTTCTAATTGAATTGAACTTTGAAATTGTAACTTCAATTGTATATAACTGTTGATTATTCGTTGGCTTTTATTAGTACTATATTCTCTCAGAATTAATATTATTAGCTTTAATAAAATGAATATTTTCTTCAATTAATATTGACGATAGAACTTCTTTTTTGTATGATCGTTTTCTCCTAATCTGATTAATTATTCATATAATAAATGAACAGTTGTTTCTTTCTTTCTCCCTATCTCTGTGTGTGTGTGTGTGTTTCTTCCCTAGTAGACAGTATTAGAGAAATGAATAATAGAAGAAGGAATAAAAGGATCCTATCAAGAAAAAAAGGTTCAACAGAATCTGGTTAATTTTTATGAGGTTAATTTCTTATTCGTATGTAGTTAAAACAAAAAATGTGACCGTTGCCTTGAGGCTACAATTCTCGTATAGATATACATAAGAAGGGAAGTTTAAAACGTTATTCACTACAGTGTCACGAAACAAATCAAAAACTTATTAAGATTCACTTTTAACTCAGAGTGCCACAGAGAATTCGTCGCTTAAAAACTAATATCAAAGTTGCTGCAAAGAAAGTTCTGTTTAAATAGTCGGAAATCCTCCTCTTCATGATGTCTGTACCTATATCAACTTTGAAATTGATGTTCATATTAAAAGTTTTTTTGGGACGGAATTCGAAAACAAACTAAGTATCCACTTTCTTGATGAAACACGATAGAACTCTAGGAGGATCTATCTACAGGAAACTCTTGTGGAATAACCAGCTACCAGACTTTCACAGTTTAGACATCGTTGGTCGAAAGAAAAATTTAGTTATATCCCTCGCTACACAGGTACGAATAATTTGTAATACCGAGGTAGTAAATAATGAACTGAACATTTTAAATATAATACTTATCAGACGGGTATCCATCGTCATTTGTTGAAAAGAACATCAAACTCAAACATCCTAAAGCACAAATAGCTTCCGTATCAAAGAAAACTTTATATGAACATCAACTTTAAAGGTGATATATCTACAGCCATCCTCAAGAGAAAGATCTTCGATTCTCTCAACAGAATGTTATTTTCAGCAACCTTGCGACCAGTGTTCTTCAGCCGATCAATGTTCAGCAATAATCTAAAGGACAAATTATTTTATTTGACCAATTCAATGTGCATTTATCAATTTACTTGCTAATGTGGAACCTGCTATATAAGTCGTTCAACGATGGCTGAAAGGAGGCGCAAATGGTTCAATGAGGAGCTCTATAATTGAACACATTGTGAACACAAGTCATTCGATCAAAGCGGACCTCGTCTAAAGTCATCTACAAGGCAAGTAGAAAGCTGTCAAAGACAGTATGCTTCCGTCTTCTTGTGATTCCTGAAGCATTTGTTTTACATTTGGAATAGCCAGAACTACGTGAAAAAAGAGACTTGTACTACCTCTACTTTTAGCATGATCATAATCTCTCGCAATTTTTTTCTCTTTCACATCCATCTTCTACTCTCTTCTCCATCGACTTTTTACTGCCAACTAATTTATTTGTGTTTCTAAGATCTTACTGATTACAATCCCTTCGTTTCAACATTTTATCTTGTCACTCTGAGCCTTCTCTTTCCAGCCATAATATTTTATTTACCTTCATGATGAATATTCAACACCTCAAAAACAAAATGATTATTAGTTTTCCTGATAAGAATAACGTTTTTATGTTTTTGTTTATTTTACCTCACTGTCACCATGTTTATCAGAATTTGATCATCACTATTATTGTCATCATTATGTTTTTAAAAAGTAAGTATACATTTGCAAATGTATAACTTTAAAAATGAATTGACCGAAATGAGAACTCTTCTTCGGACTAATCTTCATTATTCTAATACTCTATCTATCACCTTCATCATGAAGTTATTGGCTACAATCATGTTTTCATCATGACTATAGACAACTGACGTTAGATGATTTTTTTAGTATCATGATGATTACAATATATGTTACCTTTTCTATGAAGCCTTCAAAATTCGAAGATTTAATCATCACTTATAATATGTTTGTAAAAGGTTTAGGTTGAAATGCACCTGAAGTGACCAAATGTACTAGCAAACTAACTTTAAATTTTATAACTGGGAGACATGGTCCTCTCAACT